GGACAGCACCTCCAGCTTCGCAATACCCAAATACCCAAACCTGTAAACCTGACATTGTAATCCTTATAGAGAATAAACTTGAATTGAATTGAATTGAATTGAATTGAATTGAATTGAATTGAATTGAATTCTTTTCATTTTCTCAAATCCCCACCAGTTTTTAATGATCACTGCAACTCCTCCTCCCCCTCTACTACCTTTATCTTTATCAATACGGCCACTTGATACTGGAGTTCCGCAGGGAAGTGTCCTTGGACCCCTGCTCTTCCTCATTTACATCAATGATCTTCCAAACATATCCCAACACCTGAAACCCATTCTCTTTGCTGACGACACGACTTATGTCATCTCCCACCCTAATCTTGCCACCCTCAACACCGTTGTTAACGAGGAGCTGCTCAAAATATCGACTTGGATGACAGCCAATAAACTTACACTTAACACTGGCAAAACCTACTATATTATGTTTGGTAGCAGAGCAGGTGTTGCGCAACTTAACATTAAGATCGACATCACTCTAATTGCCAGACATAATGAGGGCAAATTCCTTGGCCTATACCTCGACAGCAACCTAAATTTCAGCACCCATATCCAACACATAACAAAAAAGTATCCATAACGGTGGGGATCCTCTCTAAGATACGATACTACGTGCCGCAAACTGCCCTTCTCACACTATACCATTCACTTATATATCCATACCTCACCTATGCTATCTGTGCTTGGGGTTCAACTGCAGCAACACACCTAAAGCCAATAATAACCCAACAAAAAGCCGCAGTAAGAATAATCACTAAATCCCATCCCTGGCAACACCCCCTCCCCACTCTTCATAGATCTATACTTACTCCCTGTTCAGAACATCCACACTTACTACTGTGCAATCTATATCTACAGGACCTTAAATTCCAATATTAACCTTGACCTAAAACGCTTTCTTGATAGTTGTGACAGGATCCACAGGCATAACACCAGACACAAACATCTGTGACATTCCCCGTGTTCGACTAAACTTTTACAAAAATTCAATGTATTTCAAAGGACCTAAAATCTGGAACACCCTACCTGAAAACTCTAGAACTGCAGACACATTCATCACTTGCAAAACTACAGTTAGAAAACATCTTATCTCCCTGATCCACCCCGACAACTAACTTTTTTTTATATTTTATTTAAAACAATACAATACATTAAATACATAAAAGAACACAGTATCAGTTCTTACACAGAATTATCAATTTCATTGTCAAAAGCATACAGACATTTAACTTTGAGCTGACACAAACTGTCCCTCATCCTCTATGCATTATATCCCATACACCTATGTTAATCAAGATTACACAAAACTACATACTACATACAATATGCATTGTTATTATTATTAACAAAGACGCACCAAGCCTACAATATGCATTTATTTTCCACTTTGTTATTTATAGCAAATCAAAAAACCGTGTCAGACAATGTCAGTACACACAAAAACAAACAAAAAACATTTTAACATATTGATATAGCGAAATTCTGCCGTAGTAAAACATACCGACTACAAAACAGAACGTCGGAGTCATTATAAAACATGTAGGAATAAATCCTATAATCATGTCTATATGTATGTACATACATATGCACATATACACCTACATGTATGCAACCATGCTTTCTTCCCGAACAGACTAGATTATACTAGAAAGAAATACGCAAAAAGACTTATCACTAAATAAACTGGACCTAAACTAAATATGTAACATCCATAACAGAAGTGGCAGACAATGTCTGGTACACACAAAATACATTTTAACACTTAAATATAACAAAATTCTACTGAAAATAACCCACCCAGTTTATGAAAAAAAAGAGAAGAAACATACCGACTTCCAAACAATCAGTCGAGATATTATAAAACATGTATGAATAAGTATGAATAAGTCCTACAATCATATATATATGTATACATATACACATGCATATACACACATACGTGTGTGTGCACGCGTTCGGACAGAACAAACTGGATTATACATAGAAATATAACGCTAAATGACTAGTCACCAAATAAAATAAAAATATATTACATTCAATAAGAGAACTATACCTAAGACATTGGTTCTCACAAACACACCTACATACACACACACAAAGTTAATGTTACCGATTAAACTCAATTTATTAATATGACCTTTCATACAAAATGAAGGGTATATATAAACCCCAGAAAAATATTTATATATTTTCGTACATAGTTCATAATGTACACCTTCAATATGATATAAAAAGATACGTATGACAAGGATAACTCGATCAACATATTCAAAAGTATAAAACATATCCTCACATATACATATAAATATAAACCCCCTATGCAAAATGGTTCTGATAAACAAAAAGGAAAACAGAAGTCACATACAACGTTGACTCTGTGATTTTACAAAATCATAAGGTCTAATACTCCGGTGCCCCCGACGGCTCCCTGCAAATAAACTTTACCCACATCAACTACCTTGCCAACCAATCTACCTTCCTCATCAGGCTTCCAATCACTCCAAGAGGACACACCACTGAAGAGACCAACCCCTTGCCCCTCACCCCGTCGCCAAACGGAGTAGACATTCAACAGTTAGTTCACGATATCCCTCCGGAAAACTAGTTACCCACCTTCCGCCATATAATAGTTTATTCCTACACGCTGTCCTATAAAAACACGCTGTTAACGCCTTTATCCTAATATTTCCCTCCACCTCCCTCATCCCCCAAGAAATATACAATAATCAACTATTACGTATCTAATGGCCCTTCCCACCTCTTTGGGCACCCCTCCTATATCTAACATTAAAGCCCTAAGGGGTGATATCTGTCCCCCCCCCCCCAATAACAAGAAAACCCTCTTCAACCACAACCTTACCACCTCCAATTCAGAACAAAAATATTCCACATGAAAAGCCGTTTCAACTTCCCCACAAAAACCGCATGACGCCTCTCTCACAAAACCCATTTGTCTTAGCACCTCTTTCGATGCTAACGTCCCCATAAGAAATCTACATACTAATTCCCTCGCTCTAGCCTGTATTCTTAATTTACTAAATTCCACCCATATCACTCGCCAATCATATGTGGGATACACTGCCATCCCTTGCACTGATTCCTTACGACGACCCACACCCACCAACCGTTTTACCTTGAGTTTTTTAACATTTAGTACCTTTAACATAAACCTCAACATATCCTCACACTCGACTAAGTCCTTGCCACCCCACCATTTGCGGATATCCCCCATCACCTCCCCCACCCGAAGACCCCTTTCCTCCCCTGCCCGAATATACCTCTGCTTCACATACAGTGCCTTCACCCTAGATCCTAATGCCAACAATCCCAATCCTCCCTGTCTTACCGCAGTCATTACCACATCTTTGCCCAACCACGCCCTCCCAAAACCCCACACATACCTTAAGACTCTTCTTTGTAATTCCATAATTTCCTGACTTCGTAAGGGATAAATTTCCGCCACTCCCCACACCTTACTATAAATCAGCATATTTACCACCACAACCCTTTGATGCAAGGTTACATCCCCGGCCCTTAAACTCCGGAGCCTACTCAAAGCTCTGTCCATTACCATTTCTGAATTAACCCTTCTGCTCTCCTGTACATCTGCCAAATACAAAATCCCACAAATCTTTAGCCTTTCTACAGTTATCCAGCCAAACTCCTCCCCCAATGTCCCGCCTACCCAAGCTCCTACCTCCAGCAACCGTGATTTCTGTTTATTAACTCTCATCCCAGTAGCATTCCCAAAAATCTCAATTACCCTTCCCATTTAATGTTAAGAATTAATCTAAGTCTGCTCGAAATGCCTAGCCATGTTAGGTGTCTTAGTGGCCCCCCTCTGTAATTAGTATTTTATAACATGTAAACCACACAATACGCAAAACCTGTAAACCCCACATTGTAACCCTTATAGAGAATAAACTTGAATTGAATTGAATAGGATCTGATATCTGGGTGGAAGGATTGTGTCTGTAATCCTGGTGAATTTCGTTTCTGTGAGTGCTATGATGTCTGGGAAAGTCTCTTTGATTCTTTTATGCTACTCCTGACATTTATTTGTTATTTCAGCTGTGTTTGTATACCAAACCTTCAACTTCTTTTCTAAAACTGTTGTCTGGGGGGTACGTTGGGGTTGGGAGAGCGGGAGACCCGGCGAGAATCTTTGGGGAGGGGGGGTTGCTGTTAAGGTGGAGTTTGTGATGAGGTGGGTAGGGGCAGTGGGTACAGCGTGTGGGTTTTGGGTTAGATTGTACTCACCTAGTTGAGGTTGCAGGGGTCGATTCCAAGCTCCTGGCCCGCCTCTTCACTGGTCGCTACTAGGTGTGTGTGTGTAAAAGTTAATGTGTGTTTGTGTTAATGTGTACTCACCTAATTGTGGTTGCAGGGGTCGAGCATGTGTTAATGTGCATGTTAGTGTTTGTTTGGAGGGTGGGGGACTATAGACATTTCTTATTACCAGGATGTTTCCGTAAACATATTTATATGTATATGATGTGCCTTCATTTCTATTTGTCCTGTGTCACTGTGTGTTCTATATTAATTTATTGTGAACTCTTTGCCTCGTATTTTGAAGTTATTTATATATTTTCCGTTTTTCCTTCTTCATATATGCCAGATGACGCAACCTGTCCAACTGAAATATATAGAAACTTCTTGTATATGTTAGGGCACAGCAGACGCGTTATGTGTGAGTGTACTGACAGTATGTGAGTCATCCATGAAGGCTGTGTAGTAGGTGGAAAATTATCCATAAATGTTGTAAAACAGGATGAAAAGAAGGCGTAGTTAAAGGGTGGTGGAGATGGCAGGAGGAAATATGTTGATAATTTATTTTAAGCCTTAGTTTAGGGTTTAATGTATTCTAGATGTTAGTATAGCGGTGTATTATAGTCATGATAACCCCAGAGCAGTAATTATGTTGTAAAAGTGTGCGTGTATAGTTGTGTACGCAGTGAGATGTTCATTTTATGTTGGGAGAAGAGGGAGACCCCAGCCAGCAGCAGCAGCAGCAGCAGCAGCCAGCCTGACATCCTCACCTGCTGATTATTACCCACTACACACACTCCACAGCCTTCATGAGTACACCCTTATTGTAGGTGAGTGTAGTGTGAGTGTGGGGCAGGAGGGTAGCAACACCTGGGTACACCCACACCTGTCAATATTGAGAACACTTGTGTGTGTAGCCCCACAACACAGCGTCCAGGGGCTGCCAACACCACCCAACCTTCTCTCTAACACAATAATTTATTGTCTAATGTATATCTTGAAGCTATCAACTACAACATGTTCTTTGAGGTGGTAGTTTAATATGTGGTTGATTATACTGGTGATATGAGTTGAGTGTAATATATGGTAGATGTGTGTTAGTGCTACCATGTGATGCATCATAGACCTGAACGTATTGACAACACTGCCACCTATGTTATATATTGACAACACAACCACCTATGTTATATATTGACAACACAACCACCTATGTTATATATTGACAACACAGCCACTTATGTTATATATTGACAACACAACCACCTATGTTATATATTGACAACACAGCCACTTATGTTATATATTGACAACACAACCACCTATGTTATATATTGACAACACAACCACCTATGTTATATATTGACAACACAGCCACTTATGTTATATATTGACAACACAACCACCTATGTTATATATTGACAACACAGCCACTTATGTTATATATTGACAACACAGCCACTTATGTTATATATTGACAACACAGCCACTTATGTTATATATTGACAACACAGCCACTTATGTTATATATTGACAACACAGCCACTTATGTTATATATTGACAACACAGCCACTTATGTTATATATTGACAACACAGCCACTTATGTTATATATTGACACAGCCACTTATGTTATATATTGACAACACAGCCACCTATGTTATATATTGACAACACAGCCACCTATATGTCATATTATCCAGATATATGCCCGGTGGCCTGGTGGCTAAAGCTCCCGCTTCACACGGAGGGCCCGGGTTCGATTTCCGGTGGGTGGAAACATTTCGACACGTTTCTTTACACCTGTAAAGTAAAAGGACACAAGTGCAACTAATGTGACATTTATTGTGGCAACGTTTCGCTCTCCAGGAGCTTTATCAAGCCATTACAAACAATACATGGACACAGAGGGTATATATAGGATCAGAGTGAGGTGAATACTAGTGAGGTACCATTTCGATGTTCACTAGTGGTAGTAGTAGTAGTAGTAGTGGTAGTTACAAAAGTAATACAATATGGTAGAGCAATTAATTCGTACATGAGTAAAAGGATATAAAAGCTATTACTTGGGTAACATAAAAATAGGTTGGACAAATATAGACTGGAATGAGGCAGCTTGTTTCAGTGTTCACTCTCTGTGCTTTGTGTAGTATATACCTGTTATACTACACAAAGCACAGAGAGTGAACACTGAAACAAGCTGCCTCATTCCAGTCTATATTTGTCCAACCTATTTTTATGTTACCCAAGTAATAGCTTTTATATCCTTTTATTCATGTACGAATTAATTGCTCTACCATATTGTATTACTTTTGTAACTACCACTACTACTACCACTAGTGAACATCGAAATGGTACCTCACTAGTATTCACCTCACTCTGATCCTATATATACCCTCTGTGTCCATGTATTGTTTGTAATGGCTTGATAAAGCTCCTGGAGAGCGAAACGTTGCCACAATAAATGTCACATTAGTTGCACTTGTGTCCTTTTACTTTACATATTGTCGGTAATTCTACCAACTTTATTACATTCTTTACACCTGTTGTCCTGTTCACCTAGCAGCAAATAGGTACCTGGGTGTTAGTCGACTGGTGTGGGTCGCATCCTGGGGGACAAGATTAAGGACCCCAATGGAAATAAGTTAGACAGTCCTCGATGACGCACTGACTTTCTTGGGTTATCCTGGGTGGCTAACCCTCCAGGGTTAAAAATCCGAACGAAATCTTATTTTATCTTATCTTATCACAAGTCTGGGTTAAGTAATATGTTAGGGACAACAGTCTTACCAAACATTATAATACTTTACTGACATTAAAGAGGTAGAATTACTACTGCTAACATTTGTAACAATTTAAGATTAAAACTTTTCACAGACCGGGCCGCGGGGGCGTTGACCCCCGAAACTCTCTCCAGGTAAACTCCAGGTAATACAGTGGACCCCCGGTTAACGAACTTTTTTCATTCCAGTAGCATGTTCAGGTGCCAGTACTGACCGAATTTTTTCCCATAAGGAATATTGTGAAGTAGATTAGTCCATTTCAGACCCCCAAACATACATGTACAAACGCACTTACATAAATACACTTACATAATTGGTCGCATTTGGAGGTGATCGTTAAGTGGGGGTCCACTGTATATGTGGAATCTTTCCGCTAAGCTCATTTCATCTATCAGTTTAATGTAATATATTTCTTGTGAAAAAATTCATCTTCACACATTTTTTGACTATTGGGTTATTGTGTTAAATCTTTGTAAATGACATCCCCCACTCGTCTATTTGCAGAGTAAAAACATTAACTACATTAAACCGGATATTTTGGAGTGATGTACCTTCAATAATTCCACCACAATAAAAAAAGAGTCAGAGATAGGCTAACTGCTCCCCATACCTTTTTGCGGGATACCCCCAACGTGATGCTAATGTAAATAGTGAGTGATGTACATAGTCTAAATTTTAAAAACCCAAATTGATAATTAATTATTTGCATGGGTGTTAAAATTAGCTAAAGGAAAATTCCCCCTGGCCCCTTTGGTTAACAAAATGAAACCCTTGGAATTTTCTTGGTTTTCCTAATCTACCAAGGGTTTTTAAAATGAAGGAGGAGCTTTGGGCTTTTTAGCAAGACAGCCGGTGGTAGTTTTTTTTTTTTATTGAGTGATTTATTTCTGGCTGAATTTTTGGTTTTGTATGTTGTGTCTGTGTGCATGTGGTTGTTCCTGTGCGTGTGGTCTGTGCAGGCGTGCGCAGATTTAGGGGAAAAAAATAGGGGGTATGCTTAGCAGTCTGCTGGACTAGCTACCTGACTGTTCGGCCCCCCTGTTGCTGGTAGCTACTCCTTGGCATTTTTAGTGCTGCTATGTTTTTTTTTTTTCTAACAGAGCTTTTGAGTACCAATTTTTTTTTTTTGAGGTCTGCAACCTTGGTGAAAATTTAACCCCCCCAATGGGGATTCTTGGAAAAGGGAAACTTTTAGTAGGTATAGCAAGATTTTCATTTTTCTTCCACATTGAAAACAAATTTTTTTATAATCAACAAACTGAATTGAGGATTCTGTTAACCCCTTTTAGGATACGGCGGTAGTTTTACGGCCTTGAGTTGTGGTCCCAAACCGTTAAACTACACCATGACTCGCTCACTCGAAAACTGTGAGTGGTAAATTTGGGCCCCAATGTAGACTGATGCAGGTTTTGGGGAAGTGGCGATGCAGTTAATATAGACAAATGCAAGGGTTTTAAATGTTGGACGGAAAATCCCATTCCACATATAATCTAAATATATTAAAACAACCACGGTGAATCACAATCCTGTCTAAGGCTATTTTTTACGGGGGAAAAAATTTCCCTCTTTCCTACATATTTCTAACTTGAGCCTCACTATCCTCGTAAAAAACTCTTCACTGCTTTCAGTAACCTACCTCCTACACCATACACTTGCAACATCTGCCACATTGCCCCCCTACCACCCTGTCATACGCCTTTTCCAAATCCATAAATGCCACAAAGACCTCTTTAGCCTTATCTAAATACTGTTCACTTATATGTTTCACTGTAAACACCTGGTCCACACACCCCCTACCTTTCCTAAAGCCTCCTTGTTCATCTGCTATCCTATTCTCCGTCTTACTCTTAATTCTTTCAATTATAACTCTACCATACACTTTACCAGGTACACTCAACAGACTTATCCCCCTATAATTTTTGCACTCTCTTTTTTCCCCTTTGCCTTTATACAAAAGGAACTATGCATGCTCTCTGCCAATCCCTAGGTACCTTACCCTCTTCCATACATTTATTAAACAATTGCACCAACCACTCCAAAACTATATCCCCACCTGCTTTTAACATTTCTATCTTTATCCCATCAATCCCGCTGCCTTACCCCCTTTCATTTTACCTACTGCCTCACGAACTTCCCCCACACTCACAACTGGCTCTTCCTCACTCCTACAAGATGTTATTCCTCCTTGCCCTATACACGAAATCACAGCTTCCCTATCTTCATCAACATTTAACAATTCCTCAAAATATTCCTTCCATCTTCCCAATACTCTAACTCTCCATTTAATAACTCTCCTCTCCTATTTTTAACTGACAAATCCATTTGTTCTCTAGGCTTTCTTAACTTGTTAATCTCACTCCAAAACTTTTTCTTATTTTCAACAAAATTTGTTGATAACATCTCACCCACTCTCTCATTTGCTCTCTTTTTACATTGCTTCACCACTCTCTTAACCTCTCTCTTTCTTTCCATATACTCTTCCCTCCTTGCATCACTTCTACTTTGTAAAAACTTCTCATATGCTAACTTTTTCTTCCCTTACTACTCTCTTTACATCATCATTTCCACCAATCGCTCCTCTTCCTCCTGCACCCACTTTCCTGTAACCACAAACTTCTGCTGAACACTCAACACTACATTTTTAAACCTACCCCATACCTCTCGACCCCATTGCCTATGCTCTCATTAGCCATCTATCCTCCAATAGCTGTTTATATCTTACCCTAACTGCCTCCTCTTTTAGTTTATAAACCTTCACCTCTCTCTTCCCTGAGCTTCTATTCTCCTTTAATCCCATCTACCTTTTACTCTCAGTGTAGCTACAACTAGAAAGTGAACTGATATATCTGTGGCCCTCTATAAACATGTACATCCTGAAGTCTACTCAACAGTTTTTTATCTACCAATTAAAATAATCCAACAAACTACTGTCATTTCGCTCTACATCATATCGTGTATACTTATTTATCCTCTTTTTCTTAAAATATGTATTACCTATAACTAAACCCCTTTCTATACAAAGTTCAATCAAAGGGCTCCCATTATCATTT